CGATACTATTGAGTTTGGAAAATTAAAATAGGACAAATTATGATAGGAATTGAATATAATAGTACTTTTAAGTATTATTAAAAGTATAAATGTTAGAGAGTATACTAACATTGGTATGGTATGTGTACTTAATGCATGCTTGTGTAGAGCATAACCAAGCTCCTGAGTCAATCAAGAAAAAGGGCAAAGATAAAGTTGTCGAATAGTTGGACATCCCTAAAGCATACTAACGAGGCATACGAGGTGAGTGCATTTATTATGTACATTAAGAGTTATATATGCATGTGGTTAAAGGCATATGTTGCAATTGTATATCAGTACTATGTGTACTGTAGGCACTAAGTGTGCAACCCACGAAATTCATATTATGTTGATGAACGACCGTATAGGCACTAAGTGTGCAACCCACATAATTCATCATATATTGATGAACGACTATATAGGCACTAAGTGTGCAACCCAAAAAATTCATCATATGTTGATGAACGACCGTATATGCACTAAGTGTGCAACCCACAGAATTCATAATGTGTTTATGAATGACTGTATAGGCACTAAGTGTGCAACCCACGGAATTCATCATATGTTGATGAACGACCGTATAGGCACTAAGTGTGCAACCCACATAATTTGCCGCTCATATTTATCCTGACGATGAGGCTTCAATTGAAATTTGAAGAATTTGAAGAGACCCTAACATGGGGTTCACACGTCTCAAATAAAAAAATGTTGAACCCTCACTCTTGTTATTTTTGATTCGAGCATGCTACTAAAAAACAAAAAATGAAAGTTAAAATATACATTTTTTTGAAATGCTCGTGTTCTCTGTTGTTTTTATGTTTTTTAGAACAATGAGAATCCTTGTTTACATTTATTTTCAAAAATTAAGGGAGATATCCTCTTTACATGGTTCGTTTTGGGTTTTATATCCTTTCATTACAAAAATGAAAATCGAAAATCATTTTACAACTTTTTTGTCTTGTTTGCTTATATGGTTGTCGACGTGGAGTGTTTGGATTGTTTGGGTCATTTAGGACCACTAGAGGCAGTCGTGGAGGCGTTAGAGAGTTACTGTGGAGATGAAGGGACCACCGGGGTGATTCTCCTAACGTGGGAGCAGAGTTATCGTGAGGAGACTACTGGATTTCATTAGGGTTTGGCCTAATAATGTTGGCCTTTAAGCTTGGTGATGGGCTACTTGGGTCTTTGGTTTTTTTTTTTTACAATTTTTGGGTTAAATGTGGACTTTCATGATTTAAATGAAATGATATTTAATATTTGGGTGTGGTAATAGTAAATGGACTTTGAATTTAAATTTGGGTGATGTAATAGAACACTTAAATATTGTAATTGGTTCAATGAGTTTTTTAATAAAAAATTAGTTTAATTTGGGTTTTATATCCATGATGAACATGTATGGTTTGAAAAACTTAATTACACAAAGGCTTGAATCCATCATTCACGACTCAATTTCTTCAATGCTCCTATAAAATGAATACTTTCTCGAACCACTTCACCAATGCCAACAATGCCACTTAATGACATCAACACTCGAATAACCTTCAAATAACTCCTTGAAAGTCTTTAATCTGGTTTGACTGGGTTGGACTCAATTAGGGTATGCCAGTTGCCATTCTTTACTCATTATTGTAAAAACAAGAATGTGGCAAAGACAAATAATGGCCTAATTTTATCTCATTTGGTTGCAACTTCATTTTTGGCACCAACATCTTTCTTCGATCATCTATTGGTTTGTCCCTCCATCTTTCAATCGAATGATTTGCTCCTCTGAATATGAACATCTTCTAGCTTGGCTTACCCCAATCTCATATATGTCAGACTTCCAAAGACACAATTTTCATTAGTTAGCATATCTGATGGTTTATTTCTATCATTTTATTATTCTTTTTTCCCTTTTGATATTATTTTTTCTTTTTTCTTTTTTACAAATATTAAATGAAAAACTTTGAAAATCGCTTTCTCATATATTTTAAAAATATCATATGAAAATATAATGCTCTGAGGTCTTATGGATGGCCCAGAGGACTTAAGTTTTAGAAATAGTCGACTAGGTAAGAAACTTTGGAATCATTTTCTTACTTTGCAAAATTTTCATTTTCGAAAAAGATTAAATGGGAAACTTTAAAAATCATTTTCTCATTTTTCATAAATCATATGAAAACATCCTTCCTGAAGGTCTTATAGATGGCTTGGAGGACTTATCACCTTTCTCAAAAGACTTTCAAATGACCCAAAGGATTTAATTATAAGGCTCGACATACTTATTAATGGCCTAGAGGACTTACTCGGTTTGGAAATAATCTACTAGGCAAAATATTTTGGAAATCGCTTTCTTACTTTTCAAAAAATTTATTTTCTGAAATATCAAATGAGAAACTTTGAAAATAACTTTCCCATTTTTAAAAAATATCATATAAAAATATCTTAATGGTCGGGTAACATACCCCACTTCAAGCAATGATTCTTATGTGGATTGGGCTCCTCTATTCTTGAGGTTTTGCCACTCTAAACATTATTTCATGCATTTGAGGTTTGAATTCTATGTTTATCTTCTAGATATATTATTATTGTAACTCTTATTTTTGTTAAAGAGTTGTAAGAATTATGCATATATTTGTAAAAACATGAGTACAATTAAACGTATCAATGTAATTCATTCTTTTTTCATGTAAATGATGCTCTCATTGATGCAGAAATGTTAATTCATCAATCTTCTTTTGACTTTAAGGTGGAGACCTTTATCTTCCTCTACTTGATCACTTCTTGTCTAGTTCATATTCTGATATCTATGTGGCAACTTGTCAATTCAAGCTTGCATTTCGTGAATAACAATCTGATCAACTTCTTTCATCATTTATTTCATGTCACTCCAAGTGGTGAGGCTCATTCTCAATGTCTTCTTGGTCTGAATCTTGTTATCTCAACATGGTGTGGGTCTTTGGTCATGCTCCAATGTGGATACTGATAACTTTTAAAAAGACTTATTATTTAGAGCCTTTTTTACTTAGGTTAAGCTTGTTCTTTAGAATATTTAGGATCACGGTTAGAGTAATTTTAGCATATTTTACATCATTTGCATAATGGGAGAGACTTTTGGTACTTGGGCTAATTATGATGATTTTTTATGAATTTCCTACTCTTATGTTGCGACTCTATCTGATATTGTAGTCGTTGCTATGAACCAATGCAAGATGGATTTGCTAATTTGTTGTTGTAGCAATCGACATGTCACAAGGCAGTTAGAGAAATTTTAGGAATTGATAAGTTGTTGTGGAAAAAAAGGCTGGAATTTAAATTTAAAGAATGAATTTTTAGAAAAAAATGAACTTTCTTATTAGTGGAAAGTTTAATCTTGATGACCTATAAATATATTATTTTCTACGCACTTTAACGATCCATGGGAAAACCCTAATTTTTCCATAGCCTCCATTTATGTTTCTATTTTATCGCCAACCATGGTTGCCTAAACCCACAGTCGAGGAGTGCAACAACAGCTAGAGAGCAACGTCGTGTAGCAACGGTGACCGATCGGGATTCAATAGTGTTTTTTAGTTCTTTACTTGAGAAGGGAAGATAATATTCGATAAGTCTGGATGTTTGAATTTACTATCGTTATTTGGATTTGAACACAAGATGTTTGATGAAATGTTTTTTCAATTTGATTTTGTTTTTATGATATGGTTACGTTGTTTGGATTTCTTGGAAATTATTTTTAGAAAAAAAGTAGTCTTATGCGTGTTTAATCTTGGTTATTTTTAGAGATAGAAATATTGAGATTGCATGCTACTTATGACATCATTAGTTATTATGAAAGTAATGTTAATGCAAGGAGATTTGTATTTTCGGTTTTTATGCTTTACTTGACAACTTAATTAGTTGAATTGATGAGAGTAAATTATATTTGTTAAGTGATTAATTTCTAAAGATAATTAATTTGTTAATCACTGATTGAGAAATAACAGTATTGTTATAACATTATTATGTTGATAGCTACCAGATAACGACAACATTGTTTGGTCCGTTGGTTTGATTGCTCCACTATTCGTTGCAACATTCCCCTACTTTTATCATTTATCATTTATACTTTGTTATTATCCTCTTACTTTAAAATTGAAACCATATATTTTCCTGATAATTTAATAGGACTCTATTGTAATATGTTTTGCTCTCTGTGGGTTCGACATCCGAAGCTTCTATACCTTACACTTTATTACTTAGTGACTATATGTATACTTGCATGATTATTGTAGCATTATCTAAGCATCAAGTTTTTGGCACCATTGTTGGGGAGCAATGGTATTGCATTAAAGTTTTTTTCTTTTGTTTTCACTAATTTTATTTATTTTCTTTTGTAGGTAACCTTAGTTAAACATTGTTGGTGCATGACCCACCGTAAATTGAGACTTAGAACCTTTTGACCATGAAATCGACAGAACACTTCGTCAAAAAAGACAACAATAAAGAAATATGGCATACAATGAGAACAATGTTATGCCACTATTACAAATTGGGGCATATGGAAATCCTCTAGTGGATGGAGCACATGAAGGATTAAATCTACCCATGAGAGATGCTCTAATGCCACAACATTATTTACAACATTGATGACTATAATAGGCCCATTTGAGAGCATGTTGTGACTATTTTGGATGATTTAAATCACAACATCGTTTGACCTGCTATCGATGCTACCCATTTTGAGCTAAAGCCAATGATTTTTCAAATGCTACAGTCAATGGGTAGTGTAGCGAGATGCATACTGAGGATCCTAGAGCACATTTGCGAGCATTCATGGAGGTGTGTGACTCATTTATTCAGCAAGGGGTACTAGAAGAAGCTTTAAAGCTGAAGTTGTTTCCTTATTCTCTGAGCGACAAAGCTAGAGCATGGCTCAACTCACTGCCACTTGGTTTATAGCATCAAGGAACGAGATTGATCAAAAGTTTTTATCGTGATTTAACACTCTCAACATGAATACAAGGCTGAGGAACGACATAACCTCCTTCAAACAATTAGAGGACGAAAATTTATATAAAGTTTGGGAGCATTTTAAGGACTTGTTGCTAAAGTGTCCAATGCACGACTTTCAGCATTGAACATAGATGAAGATGTTTTATAACAGGCTCAACATGTAGACAATGATGGTCGTGGATGCTTCTGCTAATGGACTATTGCTGGATAAGACTTATAATGAAGCTTATGATACATTGGAGAGAATTTTCAATAATGACTATCAATACCCCAACACGAAGCTCGTGTCGGGTAAATACGTTGTTGTGTCAATGGACACTGAGGTGTTGAATTCCTTGGCACCATAAGTCACAACACTGACTGAAATGGTAAACAAAATGCAAAAACAAAGAGGCATTTATGAGGTAAAATATACATCTACAGTCTCTTATGTTTATTTTAGAGATAACCATAACTATGAAGAGTATCCACAAAACCCCGAGTTTATGTGTTTTATAAGGAACTGTAATAGGGGTGACAACGCTGATACATATGGTAACACTTACAATGCCAACTTTCATATCATCCAAGTTTGTCTTGGAGGAGGCAAAACATTATCAACCCCAATGTTGTACAGTATACTTTGGGAATCAACAACAACAATATTAGTCACCACAATAATATGCTAAACAACAATCAATGTCCCATCATCAGTCGTTACAACATCAAGTGATGTTATAGCAACAATGTAGTACTCATCAACTTTACCAAGGGCAATCCTCTAGTCAAGCTGGTACATCTTTAACATTAAAATCTCTTCTGAAAGAGTACATTTCAAAGATGGAGGCAATGAATCAAAGAAATGAAGCCTTGACCCAAAGTAAGCTAGCATCACTGAGGGCATTAGAAAATCAAATGGGACAATTAGCAAATGCTTTGAGCAACAGATTATACGAGCCATTTCCAAGTGATACTGAAGTCCCTGAAGTTCATATAAAGGCTCATTGTAATGAGCATTGCAAGGCCAGCACAACTCGTAGTGGACTCCACCTTGGAAGTCAAATGAAGAGAATAAGAAAAAGGATGTTGAAAGGTTTGAACATCAAGATAAAGCCAAGGATATGGATAAGTGAGCATCTACTGCGACTATTACAAAGAATGCGAGACAATATAGTAATTCTTGGACATTGCTGGCAGCCATGCCTACTACATTATATCATGTGATGCCTGTGATTCCACAACCAATGCTGAATCAGCCAAATTTAAGACCTCTACCACCATTTCCCTATAGATTTAAGAAATCCAATGAGAATTAGCAATTTAAAGCATTCATTGATGTTCTTAAACAATTGAAAATTAATATTCCCTTGATTGATGCTTTGGAGAAAAAATTTAACTACATTAGATTTGTAAAGGATCTTTTTTCAAAGAGAACAAGACTTGGGGAATTTTAGATTGTTTCACTCACCCAAGGATGTAGTGCTATGGTTACAAGTCGTTTTCCCCTTAAACTTAAAGATCTAAGGAGTTTTACTATTTCTTGCATTATTGGTAATCGGTTTATAGGTAGGGAATTATGTGATTTAGGAGCAAGCATTAACCTTATGCCTTTGACTATTTTCAAGAAGTTTTCCATTGGTGAAGTAAGGACCATTGCTATGACCTTACAACTTGTTAATCACTTTATTGTACATCATAATGGCATAGTTGAGAACATGTTAGTACAAGTGGACAAGTTCATCTTTCCCACCAATTTCATTATATTAGATTATGAAACAGATAAGGATGTCCCAATTATACTTGGTTGACCTTTCTTTGCTATTGGCTGAGCCTTAATTGATTTTGAAAATAGAGAACTTACTATGCGCTTAAATGATGAACACATTGCTTTCAATGTTTTGAATAATGATGCAAGTGATAATATAATGCTAAGTGAAATTTAATTAATGTTATTGTGCATGAACACTGGAATGATTGCAACGACATTGAAGTTGTCACGAACAATGTTATAAATTAGAGGAATTAGATGAAACCAAGAATGGTGAAGGAAAGTATATGCAATATTTTGACCTTTTGGATTTTCCAACCCGACCTATTCAATTTTCTCAACCTTCTATTGAACAACCACTTACCCTTGAGTTAAAACCTCTTCTCGATCATTTGAAGTATGCATTTACTGAAGAGAACAAGACTTTCTCTATTACTATTTCAGCAAAGTTGGAAGCAACGTAGGAAGAAAAATTACTTGTTGTGTTACAACATCACAAGAAAGTGATTTCTTGGAGCCATGCTAATATTAAAGTCATTAGTCCAGCCTTTTGCATGCATAAGATATTGCTTAAGGATTCTGATAGTAGTTATGTTGAGCAGCACAAGAGGTTGAATCCTATTATGAAAGAAGTTGTTAGGAAATAAATCATAAAATGGTTAGATGTTGGAATCATATATCCCATTTCTAATAGCAATTGGGTGAGTCATGTTCAATGTGTGCCAAAGAAGAGCGATATTACTGTTGTGTCCAACAAGAAGAATGAGTTAGTTCCAACACGCACCACTATTAATTGGTGTATTTGTATGTACTATAGAAAATTGAATAAAGCCACAAGGAATTACCATTTCCCATTACCGTTCATTTACCAGATGCTAGATCAATTTGCTAGCAAAGCTTTCTATTATTTTCTTGATGGCAATAGAGAAGACTACTTTCACTTATCCTTATGGCACATTTGCTCTCCGTCGAATGTGTTTTGGATTCTGCAATGCTCAAGCAATATTTCAATGTTGTATGATGGCTATATTTTACGATATGGTAGAGAATTTTCTTAACATCTTCATGGATGATTTTTCTATTTTTTTACTAGAGTTTTGATAAATGCCTCGACAACTTAGCCATTTTCTTGAAAATATGTCAAGAAACCAATATAGTGCTAAATTGGGAGAAATGCCACATTATGGTGACCAAAGGCATAGTGTTGGGGCATCACATTTCTCATCGCGACACTGAAGTGGATAAAGACAAAATAGAGGTTATCTAAAGTTGCCACCTCTCACAAATGAGAAAGGAGTTCAAAGTTTTCTAGGATATACTGGATTCTATCAAAGATTCATCAAGGACTTTTCTATGATTGCTTGACCACTCTATTTATCGCTGGAGCAAAATAGAAAATTTGTTGTTGATAATGATGTTTTAAATTCTTTTGAAACCATCAAGTTGAAGTTGATTAATGCTCATATTGTGATAGCACCTGATTGGAGTCTTCCATTTGAATTGATGTGCGATACTAGTGATCAAGTTAATAGAGTAGTTGTGGGGCCAAGGAAGAATAAAATCTTTTATGTTCTATATTATGCCAGCAGAACATTGAATGAAGTTCAAGTAAACTACACAATTACGAGAAGTTGCTCACTGTTGTGTTTGCTTTTGACAAATTTTGTTCTTATTTTGTTGGAACAAAGGTGACCCTTTACACTGATCATTCAACATTAAAGCGCTTGTTTTCCAAGAAAGGCACCAAGCTAAGACTTATGCATTGGGTGTTATCACTGCAAGAATTTGACATTGAAATATGAGACAATAAGGGCTCTGAGAATCAAGTGATTGGCCAGTTATCTCATTTCGAATTAAGTAGTGAAGAGGGGAAAATATTAGTGATTCCTGAATGATTTCTTGCTATCCATTGAAATATTACCTTGGTACGTTGATTTTGTGAATTATCTTGTGAGTGGATTGTTGTCACCTCATCTAAATCACCAAGGAAAGAAAAAGTTCTTGAGAGAGGTTAAAGCATATCGTTGGGGTGATCCTTATCTTTTTAAACAATGCAATGATCAAATCATGTGATGTTGTGTACTTAGATGTGAACAACATAGTATTCTACAACATTGCCACAATGCTTCTTATGGTGGCCATTTTGTTGGATTGCATACAATAGTAAAAATCCTTCAATGTGGCTATTACTGGCCAAATGTTTTCATTGATGCTAACGAGTTCATCAAATATTGTGATCAATGCTAACACACTAGCAGCATATCAACAAGGAATGAGATGTCAATACAATCCATTTTAGAGCTTGAGTTATTTGATGTATGGGGCTTGGATTTCATGGGGCCATATCCATCATATTACATCAATCTTTTCATACTCATTATTGTGGACTACGTGTCTAAATGGGTTTAAGCTATAACATTACCTTCAAGTGATGCTAAAGATGTTTTACAATTTCTTCATAAACATATTTTTACTCACTTTGATACTCCACGTGCTTTCATTAATGACGAGGGTTCAAAATCTTTCTAAACAGGTTGTCATTGCTTTACAAAGATATGTAGTGAAGCATCAAATTGCTACAGTATATCATTTGCAATCAAATGGTCTAGCCGAAGTCACCAATCTAGAAATCAAGCATATTTTGGAGAAGATTGTAAATCATCCAAGGAAAGATTGGTCCATGTGCTTAAATGAAGCCTTATGGGCTTATCAGATGACCTACAAAACATCTTTGGGCATGTCTCTGTCTCATCTTGTATACGAAACGTTTTCCATTTCCCTATGGAACTAGAGCATAAGACAATGTGCGCCTTAAAAATATTGGATTTTAACCTTAATGCTACTGGAGCAAAGAGTATGCTAGATCTGAATGAACTGGAAGAGCTTCGAAATGCTGCTTATGAGAATGCTAAAATTTACAAAGATAAAAGTAAGTGATGGCATGATAATCATATTTTGACAACTTGTATTGTTATTCAACTCTCCCTTGAAGTTATTTTCAGGAAAATTGAAGTCTCGTTAGTTTGTTCCTTTTGAGATACAAGAAGTCTACCCTAATGACATAGTTCTTCTGAAGAATTTAGTGGATGAGAGCACATTCAAAGTTAATGGGCAATGCTTGAAACATTATTGCCACCAGCAAACCCCACACATTGCTTCCATTTCACTAAGTGAAATACCATCTTCTTAATTCTTTTTTTCTTTCAATAAGTCAATTTTGACATTAGATTATTTTTTATTTTTCATTTTCTTAACAATTTTAATTTTAGATTTTTTAGGTAATGTTCCCTCATTGATCGTCGTCACGCAGTGCTTTTGATTCATATCATCTCTTGAGTTTCAGACTGTCATTGTTGAACAACTTCTTC